CTTGAGGACAAACTATTTGAAAATCGAAATTTAATCAAAATAACATAGTGCTTACAGTTATTGATATGAATGCAAGAATAAAATGGGATATTTCAAAGCATTTAATCATAAGCATATAAAACGGCTCTGTAGAAAAACAAGCATTCTGTGAGTATTGCATGGCAATACATAGTCCCCTACCGGTTAAAAATTCATTGTATTAGAAAAAAATTCTAACTTGATGTATAACTTGTCATGGTGTAAACTATATAACAAATATCAAGTCAATATCTTCAAGCATGACGAAAAAAAGTGTTGAAAACTGATTATTTAAGTGAATTTTTTAAGTCCAAGGACCATAACTCTGTACAAAATCATCAGACCGAAACAAGATTCGTACTTGATCTGTAACTTGTCATGATAAAACTATATATCAATTTTCAAATCAATATCTTTAAGCATGACGAAAAAAAGTGCGGAAAACTATTGTAACTAAATATCACTTTTCGTTAGGAAATATAAATAAAACTTTGCGTAAACATTATAAAAAACTACTTCGCAATGCGAAATGTAGGGAGCTATTTCCAAAACCACCAATGGTGGCGTATAGTAGACTTCGGAATTTAAAAGAAATACTGACTAGCTCGGTAGTCAAAGCTTAGTACAACATGAAGGATTGGGTCAGGACCCCTGAAGAAGCACCCACCCTTCATATGAGCCACGGAATATTATAGAGTTTGTCCTATTCTGTGCTGCAGAAACACGATGTGTTGGGTCCTGGAGAATAGGCAAACGTGGCTGTTAGGTACTTTCAGACATTCAACAAAAAGGAAAAGATAGAGGGTTCAATTAACAAAATTCCTGTTGTTTCAGCAGTAGACTTCTTGTTTAACAGTTCATTTTAACATTTCTTGAAGTTATTTTTATAAGTCCATACATTGCGTTTCGTACAATTGTAAGGACAAATCAATAATGACCATGTAAAAATGATTTTAATATAATTCTTACTTGTAACTATAAATCTTACTTTGTAAGTAAATTTCACTTTATTTCATTAATCATGTAACAATGATTACAATATGATTGAATAAGTAAAAAATTTATTTTTAGAAACTCTTAATTTATGGGACACCTTTTAATCGTGTTGACGTACCGGACCATGCGTGTATGGTTGAACCATATGAGTACATTGTATATAGGCATATTGTCATAACCATACGTGTATGGTCCGAATACTCATATGGTCAATATAATGGAATTCTATATGACTGTCATACAAGTGAGAGGTTTAGCTAGCTATAAAACCAGATTTAGTCACCATTTCCTACATAAGGAAATGTCTGTACCAAGTCAGGAATATGACAGTTGTTTATCATTTGATGTGTTTGAGCTTTTGATTTTGCCATTTTATAAAGGACTTTCCGTTTTGAATTTTCCTTGTAGTTCAGTATTTTTGCTATTTTACTTTTTATCTTGGTTGGAATGAAAAATTTTGATGTATAAAAGGCCCACAATTATGCAAATAAGTCTATGATGCAATAATAATATCATATTGATGCTACTATAAAACCCAATGAAATTCTTTTATTCCTTAGTGAACAAAATTCTAAAAGTGTCCCCATCATTCATGAAATGTTTTCATTTCAAATACTATGAAATATTTACATGTAGGGTTAACAAAAAGTAAAATACCAAAAATACCAAACTCCATGGAAATTTAAAACAGAAAGTCCTTTATCAATATATCAGTTTTAGGCTGTGAGGTTGTTGATACAAATCAGAATTAAGAAACTGATTGGGTCTATTAATACCCATGCTACATAAATCTTTAAAGACCCAAATGTTGCAAAACACTTGTCCTACATCCATGACAAATATGTTGTTGTCCCCCCAGATAAAGCCCCAAACAACATCCTTTTTGTGTGTAAATCACATTACATTATAAACTGCTTGATAAATGAATTAGGTATTGACAATTTACTTCATGTACTTGGAAACTCAACATATACCCCCACAACACTTACTAAACATGCTAAAGAGGAAATCCTGGATAATCATAGGTCTGTTCTATGTTCCTTTGGAATTTCAACAAAAGATGAAGAACTGGATATTCCATCACTGTATTGGATACCTAAACTACAGAAGTGTCCTTACAAACAAGATATATTGCGGGGACTTCCAAGTGCTCCACAAAACCTCTTTCTAAATTATTATTAATATCAATTTTATCAGCAATCAAACCTGGGCACCTATTGTGAAACTACCTATTCTAGAGGTGGCGTGAATCAGATGTGGATAGTAAAGAATTCCAAAGATCTTTTATAGTACATACAATCTAAGACTTTTCATCTTGCAATAGTATAAACAAGAGTGCTGAAATGTCTCGCTTTCTTTACTAATTACTGATGTTATGTTGATAGCCCTAAATGTAAAGCTTTACTACAACTATCACATAAACTTAACATGATCCAAGAAAATGAGGTCAAGGTCATATAAACCAAACAAGACATACATGTACACCTTACAATCATTCAATACACTAAATATAGTTGACCTATTGCTTATAGTTTCTAAGAAATAGACTTAACCAAAAAAACTAAACATTAACCAATGAACCATGAAAATGAGGTCAAGGTCAGATGAACCATGCCAGGCAGACATGTACAGCTTACAATTCTTCCATACAACATATATAGTTGACCTATTGCTTATAGTTTTAAGAAAAACAGACCAAAACACAAAAACTTAACACTGAGCAATGAACCGTGAAAATGAGGTCAAGGTCAAATAAAACCTGCGAGACTGACATGTACATCATAAAATATTTCCATACACCAAATATAGTTGACCTATTGCATATAGTATTAGAAAAAAAGACCACAACTCAAATACTTAAACTATAACCACTGAACCATGAAAATGAGGTCAAGGTCAGATGACACCTGCCAGCTAGACATGTACACCTTATAATCATTCCATACACCAAATATAGTAGACCTATTGCATACAGTATAAGAAAAACAGACTAAAACACAAAAACTTAACTATAACCACTGAACCTTGAAAATGAGGTCAAGGTCAGATGACACCTGCCAGCTAGACATGTACACCTTATAATCATTCCATACACCAAATATAGTAGACCTATTGCATACAGTATAAGAAAAACAGACTAAAACACAAAAACTTAACTATAACCACTGAACCATGAAAATGAGGTCAAGGTCAGATGACACCTGCCAGCTGGACATGTACACCTTACAGTCCTTCCATACACCAAATATACAAGTCCTATTGCTTAAAGTATCTGAGATATGGACTTGACCACCAAAACTTAACCTTGTTCACTGATCCATGAAATGAGGTCAAGGTCAAGTGAAAACTGTCTGACGGGCATGAGGACCTTGCAAGGTACGCACATACCAAATATAGTAATCCTATTACTCATAATAAGAGAGAAATTAACATTACAAAAAATCTTAACTTTTTTTCCAAGTAGTCACTGAACCATGAAAATGAGGTCAAGGTCAATGGAAATGTGACAGATGGAAACTTCGTACATGAGGCATCTATATAGAAAGTATGAAGCATCCAGGTCTTCCACCTTCTAAAATATAAAGCTTTTAAGAAGTTAGCTAACGTGCCGCCGCCAGATCACTATCCCTATGTCGAGCTTTCTGCGACAAAAGTCGCAGGCTCGACAAAAAATATCTGACTTTACTACACTCTACACAAGTATCCCCCATTCCAAACTTAAACATGTTAAAGACAAATTGAAAGAGTTAGTTTTGCTTTGTTTCATAAAACATGTTAAAGAGAATGGCCAACGTAGATACAAGCATCTTGTCTTAGGGAGGGATAAATCTTAATTTGTAAAAAATCACTCTGATTCAAACAAAAAATTCTCTGAAACTGACATTATCAAGATTTTTTTATTGACCACATATTTGTTACGTTTGGAGGATGTGTTTTTCAACAAACAATCAGCATTCCCATGGGAACCAACTGTGCCCCTCTTCTTCACAGATGATAGCGGATATGTTCCTAATGTTGTAACTACAATCATGTCCCCTTTTTCCCGAGTGTGACCTACCGAATTCAGCATTATTACCGGGGTTTGTACTAACATGAGCAACACAACAGGTGCAACATGTGGAGCAGGATCTGGCTACCCTTCTGGAGCACCTGAGATAAGTTTTTGGTGGTGTTCATGTTGCTCAGTCTTTTTAGTTTTCTAGGATGTGTTTTGTGTATTATTGTTTGTCTTTTTCTTTTTTAGCCATGGTGTTGTCAGTTTATTTTCGACTTATTAGTTTGAATGTCACTCTGGTATCTTTTGCCTCTCTAGATCTTTTTTAAACATATAAATAATAGTTTAACTATTTTAAACACAGGGAAAATCACTAATTTAAACGAAAAGAAATATATGCAATGCAACTGTACGTCATACAACATGTACAAGTGGGAAGTTTAACTAGCTATAAAACCAGGTTTAACCCACCATTTTCTTTGGAAAATGCCTGTACCGAGTCGTTTTTCACTCATCCCCTTGGTTGTTAGCATTTGACATGTTTGATTTTGTCAGTTTTTATGGACCCCACCTTTTTTTAATTTGCCTTTGAGTTCAAAGTAACAACACTTGGTCAGCACCTCATAAGGAACATTCATGCCGTGTTTGGTTTCATTCCATTTAGTGGTTCTCTAAAGTATTTTTGTTATGATTTTTTTTTTGTACAGATCATATGAGTTAAACCAATTGCAATTGATTTTTACAGTTTGTTCTAATGTTGTACTGTTACACAACTGTCCCAAGTTCGGAGTGTTTTTGGCTCACAAGCATGCTTAACCACTCTACATTCTTAAAGGACCTGTTCCAGGTCAGGAGCCTGTAGTTCAGTGGTTGTCGTTGGTTCTTGTCTGTCATATGTGTTTTTCGTTAATTGTTTTGTAATTAATAAGGCCATAGTAGAAAAAGTTCTTTGGACCTGCTAAAATAAAAAAGATGAAATAAAAATAAATACCTCAACAACTGCTATTACTTTTTCTGTGAAGGCAAGGACATCAGCTGGGAAAAATTGGCAAATTACTGCATCAGGTTCTGATATCACAGTTTCTTTTCCAACAGTCATTTCATAGGATTGGAGATTTTTGTTATCACTATAAATATAAACTAATGGGTGACCACAAAGTGTACATGTTGTGTATATATGTATGTAAATGTATCATTCTTTCTGTCTAAAATTCAGTTATCTAACTTTATTCACAACTACCTAATACAGGTGAATACATTTTTTTCCAGTCAACCTCTAGCCTGTACAACAGATAGTGATGCCATATTTTTTAGAATAAAATTATAACAAGAATGTGTATGCAGTACACGGATGCCCCACCCGCACTATCATTTTCTATGTTCAATGGACCGTAAAATTGGGGTCAAAACTCTAATTTGGCATTAAAATTAGAAAGATCATATCACTTCAACTTCATCAAAAACTACCCTGACCAATAACTTTAACCTGAAGGGGGACAGACGGACGAAAGGACAGACAAACAGAAGCACAGACCAAAAAACATAATGCCCCTATGTGGGGCATAAAAACAAGAGTGCACACACTAAAATCTCTCGCCTGTTTTACTAATCCAGAGTTCTCGAAAATCTTTATTTCCCTGGTGGGCCTTGAAGAAAATCTGCTGGTCCTCACTATTATTTCTATTGCAAAATACCGAATTGTGTCAGTCCTTTGCAAAATTTTGCTGGTCAAAACCTTTAACCACCACTTTTCGAGAACTCTAGATCTGCTTATCATTGAATTCATGTTCAAAATCTGCAAAAAAAAAAAAGAGAAAAAAAAAGAATTGACCCAGAGGGTAAAAACATACATGACAGACCCAGCAGGGTTAGGGGAAACAAACAATCAATTTTGCATGGCCTAATACGAAGGTTTTACTACAAGTATCACATAAACTTAAAACTAACAATGTCATGAATGTTCTATGAAAATGAAGTCACAGTCTTATGAACCATGTCAGACGGACATGTGCACCATACAATCATTTCATACACCAAATATAGATGTCCTATTGCAAGCTAATAGTACCTGAGAAACAGATCAAACCACAAAATCTTAAAGGGGCATTAGCAAAATGATTAGCTACAAGATATAAAAAAAAATAGAATATGATTTTTTTTTTTGTTCAATCATTATAATTATTAAATGAAAGTGAAATAATAATTTGCTTTTAGCAGCGAGTCTGGTTCAATTTTGTCAAAATAATCTAAGAAACATCACTTGCAAGAGAATAATTCAATCTCATGGAACCCGTATTCATGTGACCTTCAATTTAACCCCTTATTAAATAAGCTAGAGATGGGTTACACATGAATTAGGCGTGCCCAACTATTAAAAGGAAAAGAATGTCAACATTGAAAGTTAAACAAGGGTAAACCATTTGATGGACTGATTAGATCCACAAAAAATGCGCTCCGCCTGGAGCAGCTGGATACGACCACAGAGGTCAACTCTGAACTGTTGGGGCAGTTATGGACACAATATTCAAGCTTGATACAGCTCAGAATTTGGATAGTGATTAAATATTTGACACATTATAGATTTCTGACAGGGAATAAATGTGGTCAGATAACATTACCCTTACCATGCTGTGCCTGTCATATGACGGGATTACCCAAACCATCGTTATTTGGCTCCAATGGCTCTCCATACTTTTAGAGGTCAACTTTATGATACTTATTTCGAAATTGATGCATGTTCCCTCAACCTGAGGCTATCTGTTGTCATGTTTCTCATGTTTAAGTCGCATTTTGAGCTCAAATACGAACTTGGAAAATTGAAATCAAATAAAACTGGTTTTTCTGGAGGGGTGGGCTTCCCTTTGGTGTCTTACACAGGAAGTTCAGAGACATAAATCTTTCAAAAATAGTGTAAACGCCCAGGCATATACATGTATCTACTGATCATAATTATTATTGAAATACGCATAGGAAACGACTACTTCCAGTTTCAGGTCCAGTTGAAGTCAAAAATCGGAAAAAATCGTGAAATTCCGTATTTTTTTGTCCAAATGACCTTCTTTAGACTGGTGTTCCCAGATCAGTTTCACTCCAACTTAAGAACTGTTGGGGTTAATGTGTTTACTGGGGTCAACTGTACATGCAGACTACAGCTGAATATCTATATCAGCAATCCTCGGTCTTCGGGGTCAAGAAATAGGACGAAAAATCGTCAAAATTGACGCTTTTTGCACCAGATGACCAACTTTGGGGCAAATTCCCGCCTACCCATCCCCGCCTCCTCATCCCAACCAGCCCGCCCCGTGATCACCTACCTTAGATATAAAGGGATCAATATGCTTCAGCAGCAGGGTAAAGTTCATTTGAATATAATTTGCATATTTTTGCAGATAAACGGAAATTAGACATTTTCTGAAAACAATTCAGCATGGTAAGTGTTAACAAGAGGCTCTCAAGAGCCTGAATCGCTCACCTGTAATTTTTTACTTAAATCTTTCATCAATGATTATTTTTGCTTTTCAATATATATATTAATGAGTGGCTTAAAAATGCCATTGAAATGTTCTTTGTATCTGTCATATTTTCTTCCAAAGCAAAAAAATGCATTTTACCCCCTATGTTCCATTTTAGCCATAGTGGCTATGTTTCTTGACGTACAAGGAAATAAAATACAAAATTTATACTAGATACTCTGACACTCATTCAGCCTAAGTTTGGCTGAAATTGATTTAGCAGTTTCAAAAGAGAAGATATTTTTAAGTAATCTATTTAAATCTATATTTATGTTAATCATGTTTATATCAGGTTATATGACTGTCGGCAGTGTTCTGAGGTCATCTTGATAGTTAATTAGATGGTGCCTACACTAAAATACAAATGAAATGCTGATACATATTATCAAGCCCATGCATTGCAAATTGTTTATCTTAGGCTTTTTATAATTTAGATCTACGTTTTAGTATGTTATAAATCAAATTTTGAAAATTTGAGTCAAATCGGTGAACATGAATTTGACAGCTAATGCCCCTTTAACATTGACCAATGAACTATGCAAATGGGGTCAAGGTCCTAAGTATTTCACATGACAATAAAATGCTCCGCTGGGCAAAGCTTGATACGACAGCAGAGGTCTAACCCTGAACAGTTGGGGCAAGTACCCTTCCCTAGATCTTCCATCAATTTCTTCATTTTCCATCAACACTTGATGGACAATTGATGGAAAGTTGATGGTACTTGATGGAATTCCATTCTTAACCAAAAAAATCCATCAAAGGATGATGGAAATTAGGAATTTTATTTCCATCCGCATTCTTTTGATGGAAAATTTGATGGCATCTTTAACCCCTGATGGAAAATTGGATGGCATTTTTACCCTCTGATGGAAAATATGATGGCATTTATTCCATCTGATGGAAAATAGGATGGAAATGAAGGAAGTTTGATGGAAATTGGACTTAAACATTTTCTTTGATGGAAAGTGAGATGGAATTTGGACTTAGAATATTTTGTTGTTGGAAAGTGTGATGGTATTTAAACTCTGTCATTTTGCTTGATGGAAAAAAACTTAGAAAATTTCAGCAAAATTGTGTCTAAAAATTTAACATCCCTTACTGAAGTAAAAAGTTTTCTATTATATTGGATCAAACAAATTTGTTTACAAAAAGTACTAGCAAGAAAGTTACATGTTGTTGCAGCTGTAACCTGTAACATAATCTCTCAATGTTACTGCAATAATATTTGTTCGTGAGAAAGTTGCAGTATTTTGCTGCACTGTTGCAAGAAAGAGTTTGTTTGCTAGAAAGTTGCAACAAACAATTTCCTAAACTGTGCAATACACTTATGATATCTTGAAACAGGAAAGGATTTCAAGAATACTTTGGTTTTTATTTCAACCAGTGTAAAATAATTAAATGCGACATATTATTTTTTGTTACAATTACTTTATGTCACTATTTATATGACTGTTCTGTAACCAATACTTTTATTTTTACATTTTCCATCAAATGATGTGTACACCCCTTGCAGAAATAAATCCTGACAACTTTTATAATAAGGATATCTCAAGATTATCCTGGGATATCCTGAAAATATCCTGATAGGCTATAAGTCCTTTTTTTAGGAAAAAACTTAATGGGAGAATTCCAGAAAATGCCAGGACTTTCAAATCAAGCAGCTTAAAACTGGGGGAATTCTCAGGATACTCTTAAGACTTTCTTTATATAAACCAGAATATTATCAGGACTTTTCGATCATCATTCATTCAACTTTCAGGACATTTACAAATTCTATCTGAATGGAAAAAAAAAAAAAAAAAAGTCCTGGATGATTCCTGGTATTGGGACTTAAGAAAAAATATAATCTGTATTACAAATTCAACCAAATAAAAAAGAAAATCTTTGGGACTGAAATTAACTATTGTTTGTTAAATATATATATATTCACATTCACATGAAGATAGTGTTCTAGCCAGGATTTAAAAAGGGCAGGGTGCTCTAGTCAGAAAAATGACAATTGTATTCGTAAAATGTCATTGAAAAAAGGGCAATTAAACTAAAATAAAACTCAGGCACTAAGGTAAAATCAAGTTTCAGTTGAAGGGGAGTACTAAAATTCAATACTTTTGGCACATTTCTTTATGTTTAGCTTTAAATATCTCGGGTCATTGATAGTGACTAATAACATGTTCACACTGCAGCTGAATTTAAATATTTAGTGCTTTAGGAGTTTCATATAAGTTAACCTGTTGGTTACTCTTCTTTAGTATCTTATGCAACCTCACAATAAAACCAATTTGAATTATTCTTTTGATGCACTTGATAGATCAATGAATGGAGGTAAAGATGAAAAAAACAATTTTCAAAATATTTATATTTTAAGTGTTTTCAGGTTAAAAATAATTAAAAGAAATATTCTTATATGCATTTGCATTCAATTTGTTTTATATCTATTTAATTACGAAAAAAAAACCCATAAATTAACGGAATATATTGTGAAAAGGTGATAAAAAAGGGGAAGTAACTCATTTTTTTTTTGGCAAACATTTTTGAAATATTGGTTGTTTAACAATGTGTTTGACACCAAAGCTGTCAGGTGAAGCCATGCACTTAATGGGTCACTTAATTTTTAC